AAAAAGAAAGAGGAGGCTATGAAGAAAATGAAAAAAATAACACTTAGGGAGATAAAAATAGCACCAGGAGAGAACTTTTGGGTTTCACGAAGCAGCTATCCCTGTATACGCCTATATATTCATTCCTATATACTACAGGAAGACCAAATAGAACAAGGACTGAAAAGAGACCACTGGATCTGGCCATTGGGATGACACCCATGACTTTATTATGAGTGTTCTCGATGGCATGGTAAAGATAGAAGGACAAATGAATGGAAAGTGAAGGCATCTGTTCATTCATTTATTCAACAAATATTTATAATATCAGGTACCTATTATATGTCAGGCACTGTTCTAAGCTTTGAAGATATAGCAGTAAACAAAACAAAGATCGTTGTGCTTTAGCATTGTTTATACAATATTCATTGAACATTTGTTAAGGATTTGGGAAGCCAAGAGTCTAAACAGTATTTTGAGGGAAAAAGTGAAGTCAAGGGAAATGTTTCTTATAGGCAGGTAAGGTTTGATCTTGTACCTGAATCACTATAGGCAGAGAGGAGAGGTTGGGGGTGGAGATGAACGGTGGGAGGAAGGAAGAGAGAAAGAATGGTGGAGAGACAGAGAGAGGCAATCACACACACACACACACCCCACCCCCATGGTTGAGGAGTGGGTGCTGAGTCTTGGAAGGGTAAGGGGTCATTGATTCTTCCAAGACAGGAAATAATTTGACAGTTTACATATGATGGACTCCATTTTCCTCTGTAATTTGAGACAAGCTGAGAGCAGATTGAGGGAGATTTGAGGCAACAATTTGAAGAACTGAAGCAGGAAGTAGGAAAGAGCCACAGGACACAAAGTCAACATGAATTTCCAAGCAGAGTTGTAACCAGTTAAGCAATAAAAGTATATGACAGGGAGCCAGCTTAACTCACCGCACACATTCATCCCCACTGAAGGCTGTCTGGAGTTTTCCTCTGGCAGTAGACGCACCTTCCCCCAGTCCCCATCCCCCAGCTTTTGGGACTATAACAGGTATTTATGTGGAGATCAAATTCCAAGAGATCAAATACTTTCTTTTACTTCTCAAAGAAAAGCAATGGTTGTTATTGAGAGTTTATTGGTCAAGTACTCAGTTTCATTCCCATTGGCATTTTTAATCACAGTGGAAAGGAGGCAGCCTACCCCTACCAGCTTTTGGTCCCCAATCCCATCCCCACCCTACCCCATTTGATCTCAGAAATACCAATGAGTTACTTCACTGCAGATTTTCAAATCCTCAACCTTTTTTTTTTTTTCCCATGAGTGTTACTGAACCAATTGACCTTCAAGTCCAACATTCAAAAAGCACAGAAGAAGGTCAGATTTTCTACATTTGTTTGGTCTCATCACCTCTTGGACCATATCAGAAAAGGCATCTTTACCTTTTTCCTGAGGACATTCGTCCTGCATTCTCAATGGCACTGGAACCACCCTAAACTCCAGAACTGCCTGACAGGACAGTGTCCTGTGTTCCATAACTTTGAGTACTTCTTAACAGGAAGACCTTTTGGTTGGACACAGCTATCATAGCCCTGGGTGTATATTGCCACAGATCTCCAGAACTGCTGGTGGGAGGTTCTGCTTACCTGTTTTTCAAGTGTCTTTCCCAGGTTAGCACTCATGCATGAGAGGGCAGAATAAAGAAGCCCTGGCTCCTGATGACCAGGGAATCCATGTCAGCCCAGAAACTCATTTCTGATCTTGGGTTTCTTTCACATGTAGTACACAAATACAAATCAAAGTGTGTTATCATTTTACATCCTTTCACTTTCAACCTATGTCCTTATATTTGTGTCTGTAAACATTATATAGTTGGATTTTAAAGAAACCCAAGCTGCTTTTTAGCTGTCTAGTTCATTAATATTTATTGTAACTGCTGACATATTTGGGTTTATTCCTACTGTTATCTGGGGCCTTCCCATTACTCTGTTTCTTCTGTTTCTTTTCCCCAATCCACTTCTTTCTTGTGAGTTTGGATGGGACTTTCTAACTTTGTATTTTCTTCCTTAGACTCTCTCTCTTTGCCATTAAAATTTTCACATTTGCATTTAACACATTTGAAAATAAATCGGTATCTCTACCCTCCTCCAAAACAGTACAAGGAACTAAAAAAATTAACTTTCATGATGCCTTCTCATCTTGAAATGTGACCAACCTGAGACATTTTAAGTAAGTATTCATTTTAGAGTTTCCCAGGCTACAAATATCGTGGGAGATGAGAGATGTAGTGATGAAATCACCAGAGATGATATTTTCCCATTTACTCTCAGCCAAGAATGCCCTGTTTCCTTCGTGAACAGGCTGATTTCCACCCCCATCCCTCAAACCTTTCAATGAAGATGCAGGTTTTTACAGATCCTGGCTTTGGGCAAAGATTTCAGATCCAACTCAGGACCCACGTAGAATGAATCCATGTACTTGTCTCCACCACAGAGTGCTCATTAATACACCATCTCTTGGTCAAGATGGACAAATGTTGCAGTGCAGCCTTCATCTTATCACCCTGGTCACCAGCTCCCTCTTTGTTAAGAGATCCTGGGAATTTACTTATTTTGTTATGATAAGCAAAGTATTTAAATGGGTCTATGCTTATTTTTTTAAGTATCTCTATGCATGTTGTTGAGGGAGGTTTTACAGGGATCTAAATACCTCCGCTCCATCTGGGAACTTGGCTGGGATTAATTCTGAGGTGTGACATGTTCCATACTGTTTGCCAGAGCTTCCTCCAGGATTGAGCTTCTGTCTCTCACTGTGGAGCTGGTTTAAGAACGCACCCTGATTGGCTGCTTTCTCTCTGGAGGTACCTCCCAGTTCCCCCTGTAGACTCCCTCTGCCCACCAAGGACGGAAGGGACCTTACTCTTATTCAGGATCTGTCCTCTAAAATATCCTGTTGGTGCCTGTCTAGGGAACCCCACTTTTTATTTCATCAAACAATACTATCCTGGAGAAAATACATATACTCTAAGAATAACAACAAAAAAAGCCAGTATGCAAAGCTGCACTATGTAAAAATGCATAGGAATGGTATCGAAATATTTCAAAGTTTAACAGTTCCCTATCAAGTGGGATTATGGGTGATTTCCCCAATCTCTTTATACTTCCCAAAGTTTTTATTATGAACACATATCACTTTGATCAACAGAAAACTCCCCTCCCCTCAAAACATCCCCATATAAACTATAGTCCTATTTTATTAAAGTGAGAGAAAAATGGCAAGGAAATGAAAGGCTTCTTCCTAGACCTCATATCAAAGTGAGACATGTTTTCACTCTACTGTGCCTGCTTTATAAATCTTTTTCTGCTCTTTTTTTTTGTTCTGACCTTGACTGGTCTTAGCCAGCATTTAAACTAGTCCCAAGAGGCTCAGCTCATGAGGTTTTATCGCACAAATATGCTGTGTAAAACTGGCATCTCTTCAATGACTACTACATGATAAGCACTGTTCTAGGCAATGGAGAATCAGCTGAGAACAAAACAGACAAGCAGCCTCATTATAATGGTGCTTATAATTCAGAAAAAACACTTGACCCACCGTAGCTACTCAACAAATACCGGCCATTCCGGTGGCCCATTAGCATGTGCGTGTGGAGAGAACAGAGTGGATTAGGGCGGAATCCTGCTTTACACACACACCCCACACTCAAAGAGTACCAGTTCTGAAGATAATACCCTGAGTTCATGTGTCCCGAGACCAAACTCAACGGGACCTGCCCTCTGCTAGTTGACCCTCTGTGGAAGATGGAAGATTAGATAACCAGCCCCACCAGGGGTCACTGCTGCCCAAGTCTCTCAGGCTCACCCAGGAACTGGGAGGCACCCAGATGCAGCTGTTAGCCAGAATTTGGTCTCTGGGACGGTCCCCGGCTGTGGCCAGTGCCACACAGCTGAACTGCATGGATGACCCCAGTGCAAGCATGCCCCTGCCGGATTCTCCCGAGCTCCTGCTCCCACCCCTCCCCTTGCCCTTCACACATGCCTCACTTGCTTCAGCCACCTTATAATGCCGTGTCTGTGATGCGCTGCACTTCTCTAATGTGCAGAAGACTAAAATGACTAAGGTCTTGGAGTTTGGCACAGGAGCAGCATTCCCAATGAGAGCATCATGGGCCAGGAATCGCTTTTCTTTGACTTGGTAGATACGAATCTTAAATATACAGGACCTGACACCAGTCACTGCAGTTCTTGCTCAGGCTATGGGTCTCAGGTCTGTATGTGTTGTATGGGGATTGGGGTGAGAAGACAGAAACGATCCATCAGTTTCCAACTGAACTCTTCAAAGCAGCTGCTCTCCTACCACAGGTGGGCTGCGAGTGGGGAAAATGATGGCACTGCTCTACTGGAAGTGTAATTAAAGCAGCCTCTTTACTCTCTGTGTCACAGCAGGCAGTTGAGGAGAGTGCGAGACCCTGTGGTTTTACATGCACCACAGGACCTTCGAGCTTCCTCAGGGATACTTCTGAAGCCCCCACCCAAGGGACAGGGGAGGGACCTGAGGGCACGCCTCCACACCCCCTATCCCACCATGGCAACTCTGCTTTTAATTTCTGTGTGTTCTGTGATTCCAGGTAAGATTTAGTTTGGAAAAAAAACATGTATAGTACACACACACACACATATACACACACATGCACGCACGCAATGATTGCCACAAATCTTTGTCAGCAAGGACATCTTAGGACAGCAGTTCTCAACCTGTGGGTCGCGACCCCTTTGGAGGTCGAACGACCCTTTCACAGGGGTCGCCTAAGACCATCGGAAAACAAAAAGATATTTACATTACGATTCATAACAGTAGCAAAATTACAGTTATAGAGTAGCAACAAATATAATTTTATGGTTGGGGGTCACCACAACATGAGGAACTGTATTAAGGGGTCGCGGCATTAGGAAGGTTGAGAACGCTGCCTTAGGATGTCTTTTGTGACCAGCGTCAATCTTTGCATCACAGGGGTAAGTCAATCAGAAGATGGTTCATTCAAATTCCAAGTTTTAATGGCTATTAAATAATAAAAGGCAGGCTATTTGCACTACGTACATTCTGTCCCCTGATGGTGCTGTGAGCTGGCCATGCACATTTTATTGCACATATAAACAGGGTACAAGGATCCTGAAGAAGTCTTAGCTACACAAGGTCTGCATTGAGAAAGGAAAAAGCCATTTTACAGAGTATCGAAGCCATTTGTACTATATAGCCAACTTCAAGAAAATACTGAAAATCAATATCAAAAGAAAAACTTTAATTTTGAAAAAGAATCTCAAAACAAGGATTACAGAGCTTCATGTTGCCATATATACATGTAAAAAAATATGTCAGGACCCTGCATTCTGAATGCCCGTGAAGGTGCAGCAATCAAAATTCCTATTTCTATAATCAACTTTTGAATGTTGCTTACTCGGAATACGCTCTTTGCTCAAAATCTTGTTCTCTTTACATCGTTATGCTATTTGACAAAGCAGGTATTTGTGCAGTACAGGGAAATATTAAAACATATTTTTAAGTTAAAGTGCACAGTACATTTGATAGGAAATAACTGCGAGCTGCCAATCCAAACCGCCATTTTCAGTAACCCCTCCACCCTGCCTCCAGCAGAGGGCAGCCGTGGCCGTGGCTGATGTTAGACTGTGCTGGATGCGCCGCGCGCGACTTCTTTTGTGTTCACCTTTATATTTGTTTTACACATTGTGGCTGCTGTTGCTCTAAAAACTTATAATGGCTTTTCCAGAGGTGAAGATGCAGTCAGCATTCACGAGACTGTGAAAAATGACTGGGATATCTGTAACTGCAGGGTGAAGGCACGTGCATGTAACTGCCTACAAATAGGCTGTTGTGTCTGAGAAGCCTTACGTGAGTCTCTCAGACCAACCCGGGTCCTTTGCTGGCTCTCTTCTAGTCATCTTTTGTTTGAACTTCCTCCCTCCTACGCCACTCAGCCTCACAAACTCCACTTACTTAACCTTCTCCTAAACCCAGCTTGGGGTTGCATGCTGCTGCCCCACCAATTTACTGACTCACTTCTGTCTTTTCACACCATAGACCATGAATCTTGTAGTGTTTTATGGACTACTCTGAAAGCCACCAACTAAGTTACAATAAAGAGCATGTCTACATCTCAAAATCATTTCCTCTTTTAAAACTGGTCGTTGTAGGAAGTGCTAGTTTCCTGATCCAGGTCCTACGTGCCTTCTGTAACTCTTGACTACTCTTAGTCAGAGCTGCCCTTAAAAGCCTTTTTTGGTTCAACAATAAACTTTATCATTTCCACTTTCCAATACCACTTCCTTATTATCTACCTTTGGTGCTAGACTTTTTTAATTACCCAAGTTACAGTGCAAAATTACACGTCAAGACACATGATGCTAACTAACACTTATTACTTCTTTGTGTTAAAATGTGAATGTTTTGTGTATAGCAAAATAAGTCTGAATCCAAAAAAATAATTGTTCACATTTTATCTTCAAGTTTAATATGTTGTTGTTTTTTCCATCACAGCTATTTACAAATAACTTTGGGGTGCTCTCTTGATTTCAGTTTATTGTATCAGGGGACAACAGGGCTGCTGGAATGTAGGAAACTGGATGGAATGCAGAAATATAAATAAGACCAATGTTCTATAAACCAAAGTGTTAATAATGCCTCCCCAGAAAACAGTTCTTATCATGGAAGCACCTGTTTTTATGCTTAATTTTTTTTTTCTGAGTCATATACACCAGAAAACCTGATTATGGAGACCTAGAACTACTGCACACCAAAGAGGATAGAAAATAACTCAATATTTATAATATTAAAATAAAGTGTTTAACCACAAAAAAGCAGTAATAAAATAGTTTCCTAATTTACAATTTGCATCCAAAGGATGAATAACAACTCACTAATAAATAATATTTATATAAATATTTTATATGTCGAAAATAGTTTTTTTAAAAGGCAATGGTCTCAAGAAAAGTTCTTGAAAAATTTGGTGGTGAAAAACCTGATTGAGTCCCCCTCTTCCCACTAAATACACAATGAGTTTGGCTTTAGTAAAACAAATGCATCTTGCTGTAAATCGGTTGTGCTTGGTGTTTTGGTAATGGCAATGGGTGAGCGTGGAAAGGATGCAGGAGGTTGTAAAAGGCATTGAAGTACTGTTCAGTTCTTTGTAACCAGCTCCCTCACTGGCTTCAAGATAAATACTTGTCACATCTTAACGTTGGAGGTCAGTTTTGAAAGGTAGAAAATCTCCTCTTATGTCCTCCCTTAAATGCAACTAGAGCCATGGAACTGACAGGCAATGAGTGGGAGGGTGGGGGAACAGGTGCTGAGAGCAGAGTTCAGGATCTCTGATGGGAGAAGGGTTTGATCCGATCCAAAGGAGAGGAGTTGGTTTCATGTGAACAGAGCCTTCGTTACAGTCACATCTAGCAATGCTTGAACAGTAATGCCCACTTTGACCAGGCCTTTCTCTTCAAGGATGTGATGGGGTAGACACAGCTTTTCCTAAAAGGAAGAACAAACATCAGTTTTTAGATGACTAGAACATAATCACAATATCGTGCAACACCACGGATGGAGGTTAAGTTGAGCTCTGTTGTGTGTCTGTCTCATCACCTCAGGCCGTGCTCCCTGCCTTATTTTCAGCCCATTGCAAAGACCTTTTCTGTATTTGCAGAGAAAATAGTGATTTTCACAAATGAGGGTTGTTCCAGAAAGGTGTCCAAACAACCTGAAATCTGCAATAGATCTAAACATTTAAAAAGCCTTTATAATAATAACTGAGCAACGCAGCCAGCTGAAAACCACACACCAAGAATATATTAGCTTATACGAATTCTTATGAAGCAAAATTGCAAATAGCCTCTCACACATTTTAAAAGGAATTCAAATATTTATACAAACCATGCACTGTTCTACTGACCATAAACTTTGGTTTAATTCATTTTATTTCCTGTGACTCTGGATGGAGGCATGCTGACAGATTGGTATCCTTTCTTCGTGGTTTATGAACAGCCTTGTAAATGAGTAATGTTAACTACAGCCTTCAGTAGCCTCTCTTTGAGACTCTTTCACACAGCTGTCACAGGCACAAATGCCCTGTTACTTTCTCATGTTCTATTTTTGTTCTTGGAAAATGTCCAGCACATAGGACACAAGGAAAACAATTAACGTGAGTTGTTCCTTGCATGTAGAACCTTGCATGCTCAATAAAACAGTTTAAAAAATAATGTGAGAAAGCAATTTGACACCTTTGTCATTTGGCTCTGGGAGTGAGGGGAATCTCCTTCCTGAGCGTGTCTCCTTTTCTCAAAAAAGACTCCACGCAAACAGTCCCTCTTGTCTACCAAAGATGGTGTGTCCTCCACAGCCCAATGACCACTGTTTTTAAGGGAAGTTTAAAAGGGACCTGCATCACACCACAGGAGGTGAAGACAGTGTTTAACACAAACAAATCAGGGTCTCTGGACAGACTACTTCTTTTTCACGTGACTCTTGCTTGAGGAACCAGATCTACCTATTGTCTCAATATAGGACTCTCCATAAATTACTAGATAACAGGCATTCTGCTCCTAAAAAGATCTTCAAAGGACACGCCATCACATCTCCAGTAAGTTGTTGCACTGCCTCAAAATGTCAGTTTTTTATACCCTCTCAACCATCTTACTCCCCCTACCTCTAAGTCCTTTCCTAATTTGTGCTAAATTAAGACTACCTCAGACTTTAACTCTAGACCTTGAGAAATAGCCACATGACAACATAAGACAGGTGATTAAAGTACAATTTTAATCATTACTTCATGTGGCTGCTGTGCATAGAAATAGAATTATCTTGTCGTCCACAGCATTATTAGGTGAGCATGCAAGTTTATGCTGCTGCCAGCTTACTAGCCAAATGTCAACCTGAGAAAGGACGGGCGGTTCTATCTGAATTGTGAGTTGTCCACCGTTCACTAGGCCAGGATGGAGGGCGCTTCCTCCTGGTGCCACAGCCGGACGTCAGTGTGTATCCTTTCCTGATGCCACAGGCTTGGGAAGTAACTGAATCTGGCATTTCATTGCTCAGGCTGGTTCCACAGAGGCAGGAATACGCTTTTCTCATTCTTATGATCCCCACAGCCCCCAAGTCAACATCCGGCTTGGGAGGAAATTATAAATGGCCACTAATTATGGTTAAGCTCCTGGTGCAAAGCATTACTTGGGGAAAAAGTAAAATCTTGCATTTATGTCCTATGCTAAAATCAATCTTAAATGAACGAAAGAGTTAACTGGGTTTTTTTTTTTAAACCTCTCCTGATAAAATATAGACGAATATTTAGTATTTTCTCTTATAACTATATGGGGAAGGATTTTCTCAGTTAAAAAAGTGATATAAAAAATTCACAAGGCAAAAGATAAAAACAATTGATTGCCTAGAAGTATAACGTCTGTCAAAAAAAACCCTACATTATTTAAAAGATAAGCAAACTGTAAAAAAGTATTTGCATCAAATTACAAGGGTTTTGTATGACACATAAGCTCAACAAATCAGTGAGAAAAACATTAACAGGCTGACAGAACACTAGGCAAGGAACACAAATAGAATTTAACAATGAGGGATATAAACAAGGCATTTTGAGCAGGACAGTTAGTTTACTGTCAACCTCGGTGTTTACTTATGTGTAGTTCTGAATGTTCCTGAATTCTAGCACTCATATTTCCACAGGGCCTAATCTCTATAGAGATTCTCTATGTACAGCACGGCTTTTATGAGGCTATGTGCCTTATCCTGAGTCCCGCTGAGATAGGACAGGTCTCCATTAACGAGTGCCCCAGTCTCACTAATGAGCGCTGATTCCAGTGGTCTGCAGAAGTTCTAAGCGAGAGGTCATGGTTGGGAGCTCCAAAGAGACGGGGATGGGAAGGTATTGAGGCTTCAGTCTTTCTTACGGGGCTCACAGGCTGAGTTAGCTTCAGGACATCGTCTCTCCCAGGCCTTTATTTTCCAACCAGCATTTCTCACCTTCCTGGTCTCCTCACCCCTAAACCAGGTGTAGAGTCCAAGATTCTCCCCTCCATCCTTACAGCTGGCAGTGAGGAGCAAACAGAAGACATAACAAGGTACCGTGTGCATCTTTAGTGCCTCTCTCCTTTCATTCTGACCCCTGAAGAAACCCAGAGGGGCCCTCAGATTATTTTGACGGGGTTGGAGGTACCTAAGAAGACTAGCCTAAGATACTAGAAACCCTATAAAAACATGGCAGTTCAGGTTATTTTATCACAGGACTGGGGTAAAGACTGATGGGAGTTGCGAGCTAAGGAGCTGGTTGGCAGGAAGAGCAAAGGGAACCTGCCAGAAATGAGGCGGGGTGATGAGAAAGGCCAGAGGCCATCTTCTGTTACACTGGTCCTGCCACGGAGGAGGGAAACCCTGCAGTGAGCTACAAGTTGGGCTGAGGAAAAAAACTGCTGTAGACTTACAACTGGATGGGAAATGATAGAAAAGGGCCAGAATGGACTTAAAGCAGAGATGGCTGTATATTTACACTGACTTTAAATGCATTTAAATATCAATGTTAGAGAATCCTAATGACTTTCCTTGAGAACATGGCAGCAGACTGTTCTAGTATAGAGCTTCTTTTGTTGTTGTTGTTTTAAAGCACAGAATCATAAAGTAGTATCTTACATAAAAATAAGGCTTCTGATCCCCTCTGAAGAACTCATGCTTTGTGCTTTTTTTTTCTCCAATGTTGAGATCAATGAGGTTCAGTCACATCCCCTCACACACCCCTCTTTGGAACCACAGCAAACAGGGCTGGAAAAGGCAGGCAAATGATAAAAACTAAATGCTACCTTAGAAAGACTTCTGGCACCTCCTATATGCCTGGCACCAATACTACAGATTTGCATTGGTTATTTCTTTATGACAACCTTGTAAGGTAATACAATATCTTTTTTTACAAACAAGAAAACTGAGATGTAGAAAGTTTGAGTAACTTTGCTAAAGTCACACAGCTGCTGAAGTACTGGAACCAGGATTTGAACACGTCTCATCCTAGAGCTGGGGCCCCTTCTAGACATCATGCTGCTTCCCATAACATCCTTGATCAACACGTGAGCATGCTTATGTTCCATCTGGTGCCCAGGAGACAGGAAGAGGCTCTGGACCCTCAGAGTCTTATCCAGTCAAGGCCCAACACATTCAAAGTCAGGTGGGGGTCAGAGAACTCTCAACTCGGCGAAAGGCATTAGCTCTACCACTCGGCTCATTTGGCTTCTCTTCATAGAGAGGGACGAGCATCTCGTCCTGGCAAAAAATGCCGCGTGGGAGCAGGCAGGTTGCCACCATGACCACTGCCTGGCTCTCCTGCCTCTATGGTCTCTTATGCTCCCAAACACCTACAGGCCTATTCCAGGCCAGCTGCTGGAAAAAAATGAAGTCAATCACGTCAGCACACTTCACCTTGTTCAGTCTGTTTCTAAAATGTAAAGTCCTGGCACAAGATTGATTGAACCTGAAAACAAAACCATCTGCATTATTTTAACATAAGAGAGCTTCACAGTTCTGCTTTGCCACATGAGCACTCTGAGGGTCAGTTTTGCCCAAGGTAAAATGAAGACCATGTCAAACTCTTACAGGTTTTCCGGCCATGCTATCTTCTAGTCCTTCCTCTCTCTAGAACACTTCATTCTCCACACACATCTGCCCCTTCTCTCACCTCCCTATCCCTAACCTATAACCCTTTCATCTGGCTCTTTCTACCCATCTTTTAGGTCTCAGTGTAAACATCACAGTTCCCAGTAGGTGTCACACAACACCTACTCCCCATGAGATCAGGTCCAGAATCTTGTACCCGATCATACTGAATTCCTATTTGTCCACTAGGGTCCAAAAACCAGAGCTTGCAGGCCAATCCAGCCCATACCTTGATTTTTGTAAATAAAGTTTTATTGGAGCACAGCCATGCCTGCTTATTTACTAATTGCTTACGGCTGCTTTCACACTACAACGGCAGAGAAGTCTTAACGGAACCCTCAAAGCCTAAAATATTTACTTACTATCTAGCACTTTACAGAAAAAGTTTGCTGACTCCTGGTCTAGACTGTGGCTTTTTGAAGACAGAGCCATGTGACATGGTCACCGTTTTATCCCCAAGGACTACCATGGGGCCATGCACAGAGTGCATAAAGAGTGCATTCAATAGCTGAGGAATGAATAAATGAACACAAGCATAAGCAAAATTCTAGTGAAAATCTAAGGAACTGGACCCTGATAGTCTTAAAGAAGGAAAAAAGCACACAGTCTATATACCTAACTGATTCTTTATTGAGAACTAATTTCAAAATCTGCAAAATTTTAAAAAACAAATCTCCTAAATAAAATCCTATTAAAATATTTTTCACCTATCCAAACTCTTTTCAGGCTCCTGAAATTTTAATCCGTTTTACCCTGAAGGTGAAACATCTTACGATTTTTTGTCCTTATGACAGAGATAGGCATGGATTATAGAGCAATAACCCAAACCA